CCTGTCCCTCCTTCCTTCTTCACTAACTGGGAGGCACGGGGGGGAACCTACCCCGTGTTCACATGACGACAGCAAAGTGCACCAGCCTTCAGAATTTCATCGACAGAAAATCTACTATGCTTGAAGCAAAATCTCCTATGCAAGACAGGGAACACGGCGGGGAAAGGGCAGGGGAGCATCAGAAGAAAGCGTGGCAGAGAAAATGTGGAGAGAGAAACTCACCGAGGGAGGGGCAGAAGGCGCGGGCAGGGCGCCGGCGGGGTCCTGGTCCCCGAGCAGCGGCGCGGGCTCGTCGGGCGGCGGGCGGGCCGGGAGGGGGTCGCAGCAGCTGGCGGCCGAGAAGCGCAGCTGGCTCTTGCGCGAGTCGGCCGTGAGCGACACGTCGTGCGAGTAGGACTGCAGGAAGGCGCGCACGCCGTCGATGCCCACGAAGTGCGACACGGGCACGCCGCGCAGGGCGCCGCTGTCGGCCGGCAGCAGCTGCTGGCGGTGCCAGCGGCGCAGGCGCAGCGCCAGCAGCAGCAGCAGGAAGGCCACGAAGAGGCACGACACGGCGGCCACGGCCAGCACGAGCCAGCGCGTCAGGCTGGCGGCCGGCTCGCCCGGCGCCGCCGCCTCGTCGGCCGCGCTGCCCAGCTCGGCCAGCAGCTCGGCCACGCTCTCGGCCAGCACCACGCTCAGCGTGGCCGTGGCCGAGAGCGCCGGCCGCCCGTGGTCCCGCACCAGCACCACCAGGCTGTGGCGCGCCGCGTCGCGGGCCAGCGGCGAGCGCGCCGTGCGCACCTCGCCGCTGTGCAGCCCCACGCGGAACAGCCCCGGCTCCGTGGCCTTGGCCAGCTCGTAGGACAGCCACGCGTTCTGCCCCGCGTCCGCGTCCACCGCCACCACCTTGGCCACCAGCGCGCCGGCCTCCGACCGGCGCGGCGCCAGCTCCACGCCCGACCACGCCGCGCCCGAGCCCGCCGCTGCGCCCGCCGGCGGGTACAGCACCTGCGGCGCGTTGTCGTTCTCGTCCACGATCAGCAGCCGCACCGACACGTTGCTGCTCAGCGCCGGCGCGCCGCCGTCCTCCGCCCGCACCCACAGCTGCAGCTCGCGCACCTGCTCGTAGTCCAAGGAGCGCAGCGCGTACAGCGCGCCCGTCTCCGCCTGCACCGACACGTACGACGACAGCGGCGCGCCCCGCACCCGCCCCTCCGCCAGCCGGTAGCGCACGCGCGCGTTCTGCCCCCAGTCCGCGTCCGTGGCGCGCACCGTCAGCACCAGCGCGCCCGCCGCGTTGTTCTCCGCCAGCCGCGCGCTGTAGCGCTCCTCCAAGAACACCGGCGCGTTGTCGTTCACGTCCAGCACCCGCAGCGCCAGCACCGCGCTGCTCTGCAGCGACGGCGACCCGCCGTCCGCCGCCCGCACCGTCACGTTGTACTCCCACACCTGCTCCCGGTCCAGCTCGCTCGCTGTCACCACGCTGTAATAGCTGCCGCGAGAGCTCTCCAGCCGGAATGGGACATCCCCATCGAGGGAGCAGCGCACCTGGCCGTTAGCCCCGGAGTCCAGATCCTGGACACGCAAAAGTGCCACCACTGTCCCCCTCGGGGAGTCTTCAGAAATCTCGCTCAGTGCTGATTGCACAGAAATCTCGGGTGCATTGTCGTTGACATCTGTCACTGTGATAGTAATTTTCGCCGTGTCAGAAAGCTCTCCTCCATCATGGGCCTGAACCTCAAGTTCGTGGAAGGAGATTTTCTCGAAGTCGAAGGCATTTTTAAGCAATATTTGTCCTGACTCAGAGTCCAGCTGGAAAAGTTCCGACGCCCGGTCTGAAATTTTATGGAAGCTGTATTTCACCTGCCCATTCAGCCCCTCGTCGCCGTCCGTAGCCGTGACGGTGACGAGGACAGAGCCCACGGGCACGTCCTCGGGCACTCGCACCGTGTACTCCGCCTGGCTGAACACGGGCGCGTTGTCGTTCGCGTCCAGCACCGTCACGCGGATCCGAGCCGTGCCCGTCCGTGCCGGATCGCCGCCGTCCATCGCCCTCAGCACCAGCTCGTGAAACGCCGCCTCCTCCCGGTCCAGCGCCTTGGCCAGCACCAGCTCGGGACGCTGATCGCCGCCGGGGCCCGCCTGCACGGCCAGCGAGAAGTGCTCGTCACTGCTCAGCTCGTAGCTCTGCAGGGAAGTCCGGCCCGTATCGGGGTCATGTGCCCTGGGAAGTGGAAACCTCGCCCCCGAGGCTATAATTTCGCTAATTCTCAGCTCTGCTTCTGCCTCTCTGAAGCTCGGCGCGTTGTCGTTAATGTCCGTGATTTCCACTTCTATTCGGTAAACCTGCATCTGTCCCTCCACTATCAGCTCACAGCGCAGCACGCATTTCTCCACCAGCCGGCACAGCTGCTCTCTGTCGATCCCCGGATTAAGGACCTGTCACTTTTCTATCCATGAGAAACGAGTCCAAGGCCGAAAAGGTGTTAAACAAATGGCATGTGGCCAGCTTTTAAACAGGTCCCAGAATACATGGTAAATTTCAGGATAAACTGCTCATGCAGGAAAAATCTGCAATAGCTACTATCTGCGTTATTTCCCCAATTCCCTCATGCAGGACCGGCTACTCTCCTGCACAGTTATGATTCCCCATCACAGCTACTAACTAATGCGATGTTAGTCAACTCAAGAGATGCAGACAAAACCTCTTAGATTAACCTGAAGCTGTTGCCACCGCAGAATCAGGAGCTATGGCTAATTGCCTGTTCTTGGAAGAAGAAATCACCCTGTTCTTTCATTCCTTCTCGGAGACATGGACCGGCCACTCTCACCTACATTACACGGGGAAACCCAAGGAAAGGAGAGCTGCGGTTCGGAAAGACACAAGGGGAACAGCAGGAACTCGCGGCTCTGCAGAAAGAACTGCAGAGATAAATAATGACTGGGATAATGAAGGAACCTTGCATACCACTCCTAAAGAAAACTTATGTCCAGATACACTCGACACTTCCAGCAGGGAGGAACAACCTGTGATTTCTCCTTCTGTGTCGAAAATCCACACATCTCAGTGGGAAAAAAAAAACCCAACAGCAAGCCAACACATGCCCCTTCCTACCAACAAACCAAAAGTGATAATTTCCTTTTCGAAATTCTGTCACACACAGAATCAGCGGATCTCTTTCTGCAGAGCAAGAGACCTTTTTCTCTGTTGAACTGACAAAGAACTATTCAAAAAACCTTTGAAAGATCACGACTGCGAAATATACATCCGTCCTATTAATGCTGCCATTTCTGCAGCACCATTCCCTCAAAACATGGGACACTACACGGCAATTTTTGGAAACAGCATTAAAACCCGGGTTGACGTCAGACAATATCAGGGGAAGAAAATAGTCAGCCTCACTAGACCTACAGTACGTGAAGCAGCCTTCTCTCAAAACATGGGAGGGCAAACAGGAGAGGGTTACAACCACATGCAACTCCTCAAACAACAGAGCCAGATGCATGTTCCCTTTCAGAGTAAATACTGAAATAGTACTGACCAACAGATAATGACCAGGTCTCGACAAACGTATCAGTCTGGGGGAAAAAGAGAAAGCCAGTTAAGAAAGGCTCAAGGAGAACAGCAGGAGCTTACGGTTTTACAGACCTGCGGTAGGTCGGCTTGGGCAGACACTTCTCCCTCGATAGCGCTGCTGTTGGAGCTCGGCTTCTCGCAGGAATCGCCGCCCAGCAGCTCCTCCGCCGACAGGACGGGCACCGGCGGCGGCGGCGGCCAAGCGGCCTCGGGCACGGCGCGGGCCGGCGCCGCCACGCACAGGTTGTAGGAGTAGGGCAAGGTGCCCTCGCAGAAGTCGGCCGGGAAGGCGGCGCCGGCCAGCGAGAAGCGCTGCGCGCCCAGGCAGCGCAGCACGGCGGGCGGCCCGGCCCGGCGCAGCCGCGCCAGCACGGCCAGCGCCACGCTCAGCACCAAGAGCGCCGACAGCAGCGCCAGCGCCAGCACCAGGTAGAACTGCAGCTCGGCCGCCGCCGCCGCCTCCTCCTCGGCGCCCGCCGGCCGCTCGCTCAGCTCCGGCAGCGCCTCCTGCAAGCTCTCGGCCAGCACCACGTGCAGCGTGGCCGTGGCCGACAGCGCCGGCTGCCCGTGGTCCTTCACCACGGCCACCACACGCTGCTTGGCCGCGTCCCGCTCGGACACGGCGCGCGCCGTGCGCACCTCGCCGCTGTGCAGCCCCACGCGGAACAGCGCCGGCTCCGACGCCTGCACCAGCTCGTACGACAGCCACGCGTTGCGCCCCGCGTCCGCGTCCACCGCCACCACCTTGGCCACCAGGTAGCCGGCCTCGGCCGAACGCGGCACCACCTCGAAAGGCGTCGCCGCCCCTCCCGCCGCCTCTCCCGCCGCCGCCGCCGCCGCCGGCCACAGCACCCTGGGCGCGTTGTCGTTGCGGTCCAGCACGAAGACGCGCACCGTGGCCGTGGAGCTGCGCGCCGGCGAGCCGCCGTCCTGCGCCCGCACGGCCACCGTGAACTCGCGGCACTGCTCGTAGTCCAGGGAGCGCTGCGCGTACAGCGCGCCGCTCCGCGCCTCCACCGACACGAGCGGCGCCGCGCCCGCCGCGCCCGCGCTGCCGCCCGCCAGCCAGTAGCTCACGCGCCCGTTGGCGCCCGCGTCCGCGTCCCGCGCCTGCACGCGCAGCACCAGCGCGCCCGCCGCGTTGTTCTCCGCCACGTACGCGCTGTACGCCGCCTCCTCGAACACCGGCGCGTTGTCGTTCACGTCCGACACCTCCAGCACCAGCTCCCTGCTGCTCCACAGCGCCGGCCTGCCCCGGTCCCGGGCCACCACCGTCACGCCATGCTCCGACGCCTGCTCCCGGTCCAGCGCGCCCGTCGTCACCACCTTGTACGAGCCGCCCGACGACGCCACGATCGACAGCGGCGCCTCTCCCGACAGCTCGCACCACACCTGACCGTTCTCGCCAGAGTCTGGGTCGTTCACATTCAGCAGGGCCACCACGGTGCCAGCTGGCGAGTCTTCGGGCACGGGACTCGAGAGCGACAGAATGGTGATCTCGGGCGGGTTGTCATTCTCGTCCATGATGTCTATTTGCACCTTGCAGTGTGATACCAAACCCCCCCCATCCCTCGCCTCCAGACCAAATATGTATTTGCTCTTCTCCTCGAAATCGATTGGACCCGCCGTCCTGACCTCGCCACTCTCACTGTCAATAGTGAACAATGCGGTGATGGTGCCGTGGACGTTGCTGAAGGAGTAAGAGACCTGCCCGTTGGTTCCCGCGTCCACGTCTGTCGCCCGTACCCTCAGCACGAGCGACCCTGCTGGCAGATTCTCCGCCACTCGCGCCTCGTAGACACTTCTGCTGAACAGGGGTGGGTTGTCGTTTAAGTCCGTCACGTTGACCCGAATCTGGACAGTCCCGGATCTCGCGGGGTCCCCGCCGTCCACTGCCGTAAGCACCAGCTCAAAGGAACTCTGCTTCTCCCGATCCAACGCTCCCTCCAGCACCAATTCCGGCTGCTTGCTCTCGTCAGGACTCTCCTTTAAGGCCAGAGAGAAAGATGGGTTGCTGGTGAGCTGGTAAGTCAACAGTGCATTCGTTCCCACGTCAGCGTCCTGTGCCCTCTCCAGTGGAAAGCGAGCACCGAGAAGAGTCCATTCACCAATCTCGAGGTCCTTGTAATTACCACTTCCACAAACTCTCTATCAAGATACATACTTCCCCTCTTTTACCTCATGCGCAGATCCACAAAGATGTGACTGCTCCTGAGGTCATTTTTACATCTCCTAACATATGACAAGATTAGAAGACAGATATATCCCCCTCACATGTCCTCATTCCACATCAGCTGTAATAACATGTCAAGGAAAGAAAACCACACAAGCAATGCAGAGATGCAGAAGAAGTGCTTTCAGAGAAACTCACCAGGAGGAAATCTCAGGCTTCTCTGTGGGCAAGGAAATTCATCCTCGAGAGCACCTGCAACCCACTGAGGTCTCAGGCTGGAAGTGTGACCTTGAAATCTTGTTCTGGACTACCAGGGTGACTTCATTTCATTAAACACTCAAGAGCTCTCATCAGCTTTTCTACTTTGTGGCCTGCTCATAGCCCACAAGTTTGAGGGCCTACGTTTGAAGGCCTAAGTTTGAAGGCCTAGGTTTGTGGGCCTAAGTTTGAAGGCCTAAGTTCCAAGGCCTAGTTTTAAACACCTAAGTTTGAAGGCCTAACTTGTGTCACCTGTAACAGGCACATGAGAAACATATCTAATATGTAGTGGTAAGGCACTCCAAGTAATTTCTTTGGAGAAAATGCAAAGAAAAATGCACAGAACCATAACTATGTGACCCATACAACAGCTAGGGAAAACTGAATATTTACACCAACCCTTTAGATATTTCAGCAACTCTCTCACCTGCCCTCTTGCTGTGCAGAGAAAATGCTCAGACATCACCCAACCCAAGAGGGATCCCTTTGCAGACAGACACCACTGGAAGAAGTTTTCCACACAACTTCTCCTTATGGAGAACAGGGAACAACAACACAGGTCCACAGATATGGACTTAGCTCATCACTGATATTTGAAGAAATGTAACATGTTCTAACAGACACTAGCACTATGCAGGTCAGTTCAAGACTCAGATCAGGAGCAACTCAAAGATGTCTTCATTCTTCCTAAGCACATGGACAGTTTTGAATATATGCCATTCTGCAACCTTTCATGTGAAGTTTATGCCCATATCCAAGAGCTACCACTCACAGGGAAGAGCTGTATCAGACGTGACAAAGGATAAAATTAGTGACTTTCTGGCACGTGCTTCAAATAAAAAGCCCCAAACCAAGACTTTGCTTGTAAATTAGACTCTCCCCTCCCTGCAATCCTACCAATTTCAATACCAACAAAACATCAGCAGTAACATCAACAAGCAAGAGCCATTGATAACATCTGGAGGTCTGCTCAAGGCTTGGGAAAGCTTAGTACAAACACAGTGAAACTCTACATCACAACTTGAACAAGGACATAC